ATAAAGAAATAACTAATTGATACACATACCCAAGTATTTAAATAGGGTACACATGCATTGGTATCTATGCAATAACTAGTATTTGGTTTTCTAATGCAGTCATTAAAATTTGATTGGTTTCTATAATTATTCAATGTATAACCAAGGTATAAAATATGTAACTGTTCAGTAACTTCTGTATGCTTCCTCTCCTCCAGATGGTCTAATCAGTAGCCAACCATGATTAAAGTCTCTGTAGTTATACCCACTGTGTCCTTTCTTTACCCTTAAGCACTGCATGTAATAAACCAGGAACAAAGACAAAGCACATGGAACTGGAGCCAACTCAGCTGCTTGCAACAATATGTTGCCTTGACATTTGGTGCAGTTCATGAAGGTGAAGACTATAGTGCGTGATCCAAATGTAAGGTCATTTAATCAAGAGGTTCCCAAGATACAGAATGCCTACAACAAATCTTAAGAATGACACACTATTAATTTTTTTTTGTTCAGGCCTGAACATCAAACCATAGCTCAAACTGACAACTTGGATACAATGTCTCAACACTTATCTAAGTTAGTACATAGAAGTCTCTACCCCTCCAGGAAAGATAAACTGAAACTGATATTTAGAAATAGGATGCAACTGTTGGCAAGAGCGTGCTTCTAATTCTCAAGTACTGACACTTTAAAAAGGCAAACAAAATAGCCAAGCAGATTTCTAGCCAGCCAATATCCATATTAATGGAGCGGTTAAGGGGCTATTAAATCTTTTCTCCTGTCAGTTCAAGTCCTTTGTTGACCAAAATCTTTCCCTGTTTGAAAAGATGGTGTTTTCAGGAAGTATAATCTGACTAGAACATGTAATTCAGAAGGCACTTAGCTATTTTCAGGAAGAAGGTAAATGTGAATGTTTGCTGGAATGGGGGAAAATTAAAGGGAAGAGGAGTGTTGAGAAACAAGTGGAGGGCTTTGAGGCTGGTATGAGGGGAGAAGCATTATTACTGTCTTCCACATATGTATGCAGTGAGAGAGAGAGAGAGTGCTAGACAGCAGGGATCAACATTTTACATTATTGGCTCAATGGGATAGGAAGGGGAGGGCGACTCAAAATGGTAAGATGTATGTTGTTGTAGAGAATGGTGAGGGATGGGGTGTAGAAGAAATAAGACATTGGCTCTCTCATATATTTTAAAATTACTATAATCTAAATCATCATGTATTTTTACTGTAAAGATTTGGGTGCATAGGCTGTATCTGAGATTTCTCACAGGTCCTGTCAGCAGCTCTGAGCAAAGCACAACCATTAAACTCCTTCCACTATAACAAAATAGTAGGCAGAGTAGAGGAACAGTTAGGGACTACATAGCAGCTATCTGGCATAAGGGAACATCTGAACTCAGGAGAGCTGTATTTACTTCTGGCTCTGCCCCTGCTGTGCTGGATGACCTTGTGTGTGTTAAGGTGTCTCTCCCTGCTTCAGTTTCCCCATCTGTAAAATGGGTATAATGATATAAAATGAGTTGAAATCTACTGATGAAAAGCACTGTGTGAGAGCTAGGTTTTTAAAAACCATTTAACCACAGTGGCATAGTAAGTAACTATGGGGAAAATGCAATTGCCTCAAATAGTACTAATTCTTAAAACAAACAGTAACTCCACAACATATGTACACTCTACATTTGCAGATTGTCTGCATCCCTGATGAAATGGGATGCAACTCTAGCACCGAATGTTTGTTTTGGTTTAATAAGCTGCATTGACTAGGAGCTTCCTACACCTGCTCTTCACTCAAACATTATGCCTACTCCTCAGAAACTACCTTCTACTCCCTAAATTTTATGGCATTTTCTACCCATTTAAAACCCATACATTCTTATTCATTTTACAATTGCTAGAAACCTTGTGCATCTCAAAACATTGTTGAAGTAGGAGGTATTCTTAAAGTACAATCAAGTTACAGATGCATTTTTCTTTTGAGCACACAGGAGGATATCAAAGCCAGATTTCTTTGTAATACAACTACAGCTCCACTAAACTACTTTAATTCCTCCTCTACCATTTATATACAGCTATACTTAACATACTGAAAGCATTTGGATTAGATGTGGATAACTTGCAGTGTCCATTCTCAGCCCCAAGAAAAGAGGCAGAGAAAGTTAAATTGGAATATATACCTTGACTCTTAATTTCTTGCTTGTGGGAAGATAAGAGTATCCCTGAACAGTTTAGCAGGGCACAACACCCCACAAGGTGGCCCTGCATTAAGGAAGTTTGGGCAGTTATTAAGGTCCTTTTCCCAAACTTCTCTCTCTTCAAAACTGGAATACAGCATACTAAATCCATCATTCAGCCTTCCATCCTACAAATACAAACTTTGGCAGCTCTCTTTTCCTAAGCCAAATGAAGCAAGTTCAACAACAAGCAAACAGTCCCTTGTGCTCCATTTCCCTTTATAACAGTACAAAGCACAGCACAGCCAATAACTAAAAAAAGTAAAGACTCAAACCAGAATAGGTCTGTAGTCAGGGTGGCAGCATTACCTGTGTCTAACAACCCATTTCCTTAGCTCAGTCATTTCCTTTAATGCTTCCTGTTGATTGCTGCTTCTTTATATAGGTATGAAGGAGGACAACTGATAGACTTAGAAGCTCCCTGGCCTAACATTTGATTTTCCAGTTTGGAGCTCTGAGGCTATGTGATCCAGCTACGCATTTATGCCATCTCTACCATCCTGGTCATACCAGAATGCTGTAAAATACAGTCCTCTAACAGAGATGGTCAGAAACATCATGATGATAACAGAAAACGCAGATAAATCCCCTTCTGCAGAGAGGTCAGCCCAACCAGCACTCAGTTCCCAGGAAGAAATTTTGCCCAAGCAAGACTATACCCAGACCCAGGCTTTATCCATGGCAGGTTAGGGTGTTATGTGTTGCATCAGGGCTCATGGTAGTTTTACAAAGAGTTTTGATTATGCATTGTATGGGATGGTTTGGATAGGGATGATCCTGCCCCAAGCCACAGGGGTCGTGCTTACTAGATGACTTCTGGAGGGCATTTCCACTTCTTCTCTTATGATTCTATGATTATTGCTGGTTATCTTTTTTCTCCAATGAAATGCCAACCTGGAAGGCTCTGACGTTTACCACTGTGAAGAAAGAGCACCTGTAAAAACAATGACACATGGAAAAAAAGACCTCTGAAAAGCATTTAACGGAGAGGACTGTTTGCTAGCACTCTGTGATCCTTTTAAATGGTAGCTGACACTGTGCTTCCCAGACAGTGACTGTAGGTTTTACTAGCTCCCCAATCCCCCCTGGTGCTGCCTGGAATAATACCAGCCTCCTAGTTTTCTCCAGAAATACAGGACATCACTGATAGAAGGAGCAGATTGCTTTTATTGTAGCTGATCCTCCAGATACCTCAGAGGGAGGAGTCTCTCTCTCTCTATTCCTCTGATCTTTGACTTCTCTCCACTGCTCTTTGAGATGGATTGAGGCTGAAGTTGGTTTCTTATTCCTAGTTCCTGGTTCCGTTTCCAAAACTAATCATTACACAGTTAAAAGCTGTTAGTAACGTACTAGACACGCAAAAGAGTTAGAATTTCATCAAAAACGTATATTTACTAAAAAATGTAAAATAATATGCATCAGTAGTAGAAACAATGGACATTGCACACAGGTCTGGAGGAGTCAGTTGGAAGGTTTTTTTTTGGTTTTTTTAAGGAAATGTTTTTGTGTTCCAAGTCAAATCAGCCAAATCAATTCTAAATCCATGAGTCATTCAAGAACCAGAAGTGGCCCTATTACTGGAAAGCATCTTCCACTCTCGCCTGGAGCTTCAAATACTTCCAAATCCTTTAGCAGGCATCTTACGTGCAGGTGGGCTTGGGCTTCAGATCATGGGCGACTGGTGCCTCCCGAGACAGGGATGGGGCACCAGATTGTGGATTGGGGGGGGAATCCCCCACGATCCCTGAGCCAGCGGCAAAACCAGAAGTGCACTTCCGCTGGCACTTCCAGTTTCACGGCTGGCGCTTCCAAGGGGAGCACAGCTGATCTCAGGGGGGCTGATCTCATTGGCCTACGTGTCGCCAGTGCTTCAGATGCCCCTGAGTTCGGCTTGCCCTTGGCCCTACGGCCACAGGAACAAGCTAGGGAGGAGATCCCCATTTCTATAAAGTCGGCATGTAGCTGAGATCCTCCAACTGGAAGCTGGCCAGCGGGAAGCTAACTATGAGGCTCTGGTAGGGAGTCCTGTCCGCAAGCAGACAAGGGTGCAACCCTCCACTACACAGTGCCGTTTTAATTGCACTCCCGTGGTCAGGGTTTCCCTTGCCACCATCGTGGTCATGGTATCTCCCCAGCTGGCAAGTGAAAACCGAGCTTTGGGTCAGGTACTGCCCTGCCCCAAATTCTCCAAGGCTCCTCTGGACGTGGAGATGTGCAGGCTGCGGGGAGCTGAAAAAACCCTTTGCTCCATAAGTCCAGCCCCTTATTCAGGATCAAGTATTTGATGCATGATGCGCATCGTAGAAAATGAGGGTTGGAAGGGATCTCAGGAGGTCACATCTAGTCCAGCCCCGTGCACAGAGCAGGACCAGCCCCAGCTAGATCATCGTATTATCTGACATGGTTACTAGTAAACGCACACTGCTGATGACACTAACCCTGCGGCCTGTCTAATTCATTACTAACAACCTGGACGTGTGCACAGATCAGCTTTGGGAACC